TTTTAACTGTTTTAAATTCATTTTAAATCAATTTCTAAATCATTTTAAAAGTTTTTAAGTTCCCTGTTTTATTGTTGTGATTTTTTTTATGATTATTTTACTTCCTTTTATGTAAAGAACTTTGAATTACCATTGTGTATGAAATGTGCTATATAAATAAACTTGCCTTGCCTTGTTAATTTAAATTTTATGTATGTTAATAAATACATATTAAAGTATGTATTTTTCATATTATTTTTTTTATATTAAAGACACAATTTACATGGATTATGTATATAAGTATTATATATATAATAAAGTATTTAAGATATATATATTTGCCGTTTTAATTAAATTTTTGTTTAGTAATTTTTTTGTTCTTTTGTCATTTATCTGTATTATTTTTTAAAATATTTTAATGTAGCTTTAATAATGTTTGTACTTCAATTTCATCTTATTTCAGTTTTTTTCTTTCTTTTTTTTGTGTGTAAAATGTTCATCTAATATTCATATTTTCTTTTCTTTTCTTTTATTTGAATTACCAAAACAATTTTAAAACGTTTTAATATAGTTTTTGATAGTGGTAGTTAGCAATAACAACGCTGTTCTCAACAAGTACATTTATCTTGTTTTAAAGATTTTTAGATATTTTACTGGAAGACATATCAAATAAATGAATAAAACTACATTAAAATCATTATTTACAGTGCAAGGTTTTGTGTGCTTTGAGTCAAGATTATTAACACAAATTGTTAATCTTACTAAGACAATTTAAAGTTAGATATGTATAATTAAAACGATTATAAATTAAAGTTATTTTAAATATAAACTAGATTTTTATGTTTTTTATAAAATGTTAGAAATGCTTGTTTTTGCAAAACTCACTGTCATGTTTCTAAGGTATTGTGTGTGGTTACCAGGGTTTTACTAAGCAATTGCTAAGGTGTTCAGAGTATTTTTTGGTTCGTTGCTATGCAGTTGCTAGGATACCCTAAATGGTTGCTAGGTGGTAGCTTATTGGTACTAGTCCAATTTCAGAGGCTACTTTGGATTTCAGGTTTGCTCAAGTCACTAAATCTATATGATATAATGAAACGTATCGAAACCCATATGTGAGAAATGACAATAAATGTAATGTATTGGGTAAGTAATAATCAAAAGAGTGTGTACCTGGTACCAGGACGTTTGGGCTTCCTTTCTTGGCCACTGTGTTCTTGAGGGTGGTGACGATGTTTACCGGCCACTGGATACAGCAGGTTTTCTTTCCCTCCCTGCATGTCTGTCATCATGTGGTTCTGGTTCTGGATTTGGTTCTGTTCCATGTTGTTCTGATGGAAGACGTTTAGGACAGAGCCGTTTATCCAGTGTCTTGTAAAGCATGAATGCATGACCTGTCTTTTCTAACCGGTAGCACTGCAGTTGGGAGTGTTTGACATAAAGGATGCCCAGCAGGAGAATGGGTTTCATTACCTCATCAAATGGATTCCTGCAGTAAATCCAGGCGATATTCTGGGCATATCTGTCACATGACCTTATATTTGCTAAATATGAACCTGTGAGTTTCTTTTTTATTCTTTTGTTCATAGATATGATTATTCTAAGTATTAAAGGGGTCATATGATGCTTTTTTAAAGATCATTATTTAACGTTTACTATCCAACCTGACAGAACTGGAGAGGCTCTGCAAGGAGGAATGGCAGAGGATCCCTAAATCCAGGTGTGAAAAACTTGTTGGGTCTTTCCCAAAAAGACTCATGGCTGTATTCGATCAAAAGGGTGCTTCTACTAAATACTGAGCAAAGGGTCTGAATACTTAGGACCATGTGATATTTCAGTTTTTCTTTTTTAATAAATCTGCAAAAATGTCAACAATTCTGTGTTTTTCTGTCAATATGGGGTGCTGTGTGTACATTAATGAGGAAAAAAAAAATAACTTAAATGATTTTAGCAAATGGCTGCAATATAACAAAGAGTGAAAAATTTAAGGGGGTCTGAATACTTTCCGTACCCACTGTATATACATATATGTGTGTGAAGAGGTAATTTGTATAAACTGTTAACTTAAATTTTTATTTTATTTTTTCAGAAATCCCGTTTTTTATTGCGCATTTCAAGTAATATCAATCAAACTGCAGTTTGGTTGTTTTGATTAAGTAACAATAACTTAAACAAATACAGGTAATTTACAAAATTAAAGTTCATTGAAAGTATGTTTTTTTTTTTACATATTAAAAGTTTGTTTTATAGCAAAAGTAGATAACTCCAACAGTCGTTTTTTGGCAAAAGCAGATAACGCCACATTTCATGTTTTAGAGTAAAAAAAAAAAACACTCGTTTAATCTTTGTAATCTCCTCAGATGACAATGTAGATGCCTGACAAACGTTGTTGTTGTTGTGATCATAAACTGTATGGATGTGATTACACGCAATACACAAAGCTTTTCCCTCACCATTGTAACACGCTGCTTTTACAAGCTTCAGTGAAAACCTTTTAGCTTTTATTTTCCTTTTTCGCCCTGAAGAAGATATCACAGGTTCACCAAGTTCATCGAAATGATCCATCCTCGATCACTTTTAGTCAGCTTTGACGAAACTCCTCTCAGCTAGCAGGTCGCCGTGATTTAGTAAGACATGTTCCTGACATGTTCATCTTTTGTTGATCCTGGATCAACATAACTGTCCAAAAATATAGACTTAACCCAATCCCTACCCCTAAACCTAACCCTACCCATAATTTATTCCTAAAAACAGTGTGAAATGATAGCCGATTAACAAGGGTGTAGAAGCACCTAACCCTGATTGTAAGCCTAAAACAGATATTTCCTGAAAAGTTATCTCTCAATTCTGATTGGATGATACGAATGTTGTACCAGGATCAACAAGGATGTTGATCCAGGAACATGTTGTACTTGGTGAATCACGCTCACCCAGCTAGCACGTCTTTTCAAAGTGAAAGTAGCCTTGTCACCTGACCTGAATACAGCGCGCTGATTCGCTAAAATAGACTTATCGGCTTCTGTTCTAAAACAACAAGGGCGCTTGTCGGCTTCTGCAGTAAAACGTGAACTCGTGCCTTGAAAGTAGGGATGGGCGATACCACTTATTTTGTTTTCGATACGATACCGATATTTTTCAAGGCAGTATCGTCGATATCGATACCGATTCGATACTTCTGAACTAAACTTTTAAATTATGAAATGTATTAAATTATTAAATTACTAAGAGTAAAATAGGTAATGATAAGCACTTAACTTTATGTTTAAAATGCATTTTAACATTCAATACACCTTAATTGTAACTTATTAGGTTATATTTTTGTTTACACGTGGTTCAAATATGTTTTTTGTTTACACATGATTCAAATCTATAAATACTACAGTTGAACTACGGTCACTTTAGTAAAACCATGGTTCATTTTCCCAAAAGCTTTAATGCTTTCTTATGATACTTTTAGGAAACACAGCTCTGTTTGAATGCACTGTCAGAAGTGAGTGAACGCTCTCTGTGATTGATTAGTTCTGTTCACATTGAATAGTTCTATCCTACACATTTACTCGCTAACAAAGGTTATTCGTCCAATTCAATGCATATTGTACACATTTTTATTTTGTTAAATTAACAAAATCACTGGTAAATAAAACACACCTTAGTATCGATATTTTTTGTTTGAGTATCGATACTTTCGATACTCGCGTCAGTATCTATATATTGATACTTTGGATCGATACGCCCATCCCTACTTGAAAGTGGACAAAACCGGCTTTTTGGACAAAAAGTGTTTAGGGTTCAGATCGCGCTATATGTGGAGAATAATGCACGACAATCAGCTCATTTGTTTTTTAAAGTGGCGTTTATCGGTTTTTGCAAATGAAATCTTCATACATGTAGGCTATATATAGTTTTAGTTTAGTACTTTTTAAACTAAAAATGGGAATTGTTGCTCTTGTCCACTAGTTGAAATACATTAAATTTTTTTAATGAAATGTTTACAATTTAAATTTTTATTACACAATACGATCTGTTCTGCTCCTGCCAATCAACTGCACCGTCTCTCATATGAGTCCTTACAAGTCTGAAGTCCGTTTGTAGGAATGTGTGTGTGTGTGTGTTTTTTTGCTTCTATAAGGCTTCATCTAAGTGTTTTTGTAGTGTGTGTGTGTGTGTGTGAGTCTGGTATTCCTTACATTATAGGAACCAAATGTCCCCACAAAGATAGTAATACCAGTACATTTTGACCTTGTGGGGACATTTTTTTTGGTCGTCTTGAGGAAAACAGCATATATTTAAATTTTTTAGGGTAAGGGAATAGAAAATACAGTTTTGACAGTATAACGTCATTATGTCTAACGTAATTTATACAATAATCATTACATCTATGGAATGTCCCCAGAAAACATGGAAACCAGTGTGTGTGTCTTACCTCCCTTTATCTCTCTGCTGAGGATCATGGCCTGCTGCTGTCTCTGTTTGGTGAGACTACGTTGTGCCGTCTGCATCCTCTCGGTCTGAACACACATCACAACACAGCAAGTGATTCATATCCTGCTTATAATAATAATAATAATAATGATAGTAATAATAGTTTTATTATATTTAATATTTCTGGTCAACGCTGCAAAAATACATTGTAAATATAAACCCTGAGGCCTTACTGTTTTGCCAAATAAGATAGAATACTATAGAATACTTAGTATACTAATCAGATACTTTCATGCAGAGACTGCTATGAAATAAGCCTAATTATATGTTCATATTAGACCGTTGATTGCATCCACTTGGAATACTGAGTGTAATGGAGAAGAAAAAGAATAGTTTCTTACCTTCAAATGATTGATGGTGGGTGAGTTCAAAGTTGTGCTTTTGTCCATACCTTTTTAAAAACAGAAAAAAGCAGATTAAAAATTGGTCAATTTCTCTTAAAATGTGCAAAAATAATGTTCAGATCCCATCCGTAGATCTTTAGAAGCCAACTTACCATTCTGTGGTTGACCTTGTTGAGTTCATTCATAACTTTACTGAGCATGAGGATCTTTGGCGACTCCTCTGCCTGCGCTGCCATCCAACAAACCACTGCAAACACTAAACACACAGACGCCTTCATGCTTAAGCTGCAAGTTTTCTTCTGTAACTTCTCTAAAGCTACTTGGATTGATGTCCGTCATACAGGTACACAATCACCTTATATAAGAATCCTTGAGGACGCTGGAAAATCGCTTCTTTGTGGAGATTGGAACACTCAATTTTTACAATGACTAATTAGTTTTTCGGTCCCACTTTATATTAGGTGGCCTTAACTACATAAAAAAAGAGTAGAATGTACTTATTGTGTTTATATTGTATTGTAAACACTTTTGCTGCTATCAAGGTGGGATACTGGTAAGGTTAGGGGCAGGTTTGCTGGTATGGGTAGGTTTAAGGGTGGGTTAAGGTGTAAGGGATGAGTCAACAGTGTAATTATAAATGTAAATACATTAATTACAGATGTAATTATATGCAGGTATTTTTTTAATATAAGTACAATGTAAAAGCATGTATGTACACAATAAGAGAGGCACGTGTACGGGGGTGTATGGATTCTGTGTGTGTCTTAAGTGCAGCAGAAATTTTTTTGTAACCTTGGCCAGATCTGTGCCTTGCCACAATTCTGTCTCTGAGCTCTTCAGGCAGTTCCTTTGACCTCATGATTCTCATTTGCTCTGACATGCACTGTGAGCTGTAATGAATACTTAGGACCATGTGATATTTCAGTTTTTCTTTTTTAATAAATCTGCAAAAATGTCAACAATTCTGTGTTTTTCTGTCAATATGGGGTGCTGTGTGTACATTAATGAGGAAAATAAATTTACTTAAATGAATTTAGGAAATGGCTGCAATATAACAAAGAGGGAAAAATTTAAGGGGGTCTGAATACTTTCCGTACCCACTGTATATATATAGTTGAATTATAACTAATTATAAGCAAAAAATGGCATCTAAGTTTTTATTAATATGAGAAAATCATCCTTTATGTCCAATATTTACAAGAAAATACTATTTCAGTCTTTCTACTTCAAAATGTAACATTTAATTCAATGTGTTACTTTCTGTTTTTCTGTAATCATTAGTGCAATTTTCTAGCAATTTCTGAGTGAAAAGCATTTCAAAATAAATGCAACACCCGTTTTCTCGGTGTATATGTATGTGTGTTTGTGTAGGTCTACAGTGAGAGTGTGATTCCTCGTATCGCCAAAGCAGCGAGTGGCGTCACAGGAACCCCCTATAATGAGCTCATGAACTCATGGGGGGTTTATTTCCTTGGATTCGTGGGGAAATACGGATATGACAGAATCCTTAAGGTATGACTTTTGCAAGATGTGAATTACCCAAGTAGCACATGTTCAACATTCTTGTTTTTCGAGGAACAACATTGCCATTAAACAATAATGATCCCTGTCATGACTTGTGTATTGCATCCTCTGGTGTGTTTTTGTCTCTTATACTGTGTGTCAGGTGTTAGGCCGCCATGTGCGTGATTTTGTGAATGGTCTGGATAACCTGCATGAGTACCTGCGCTTCAGTTATCCAAAAGTCCAGCCTCCGACCTTCTTCTGCCAGGAGGAATCAGCTACAGGAGTTACACTGCATTACAGGTGTGTGTATCTGATCAGAAAGCTTTTGTCAATCTGAAGCATACAATACTGTTCAAAAGTTTGGGGTCGATAAGATTTTTTGAATGTTTTTTTAAAAAAGAAATCTCTTTTACCAAGGCTGCATTTATTTGATCAAAAATACAGAAAAACTGTAGAGTTTTGAATATTAATATATTAAAATATAGAATACATTTTATAAATTGCATATGTATTTAGAAATATATTAATTAAATACTGTTTCTTAAGACAATAAAAAACACATATATATAGAGAGAGCTAACATATTGATATACTGTAAAATGAAATTTATTCCTGTGATGCAAAGGTTAATTTTTAGCATCATTACTCCAGTCTTCAGTGTCACATGATCCTTCAGAAATCATTCTAATATGCTGATTTGCTGCTCACGAAACATTTCCTATTATTATCAACAATTGAGCTGCTTCATATTTTTGTGGAAATCATTAAACACTTTTTTCAGGATTCTTAACGAATAGAAAGTTCAAAAGAACAACATTACTGCCACTTTTGAACAATTTAACTAATCTTTGTTGAATAAAAGTATTAATTTGTTTAAATAAAATTCTTTCTTACTGCAAACTTTTGAACAGTAGTGTATGGCATCTGGGGGATATGGAATAAAATGAAATAATCCACAGTAAAAGTGATTCACACAGGATTGATTTACCTGAATTTATTGTAATAATTCAATAAAGTCGCAGTAGTCCAGAGTTCAGCTGATGTTCTGTGTTCTCGACTCTGTCTCTGTGTGTTTGGTCAGGAGCAAACGTAAAGGTTACCTGCACTACGCCATGGGTCAGCTCAGACAGATGGGAAAACAGTTCTATGACACTGACATCCATGTTGAGGTTTTGTCTGAGCAGCTGGTGGGAGATTATTCACACGTCACCATGAGGTGAGACGCATGACAACATATTTATTTACCTAATGCAGGTACCATCTGTTGTGCCTGCTGTGCTTGTGTTATTAAACAAGCATCATTCAAATAGTAGCCAGAATTTGTGGATGTTGCACAACTGAGTATTAAACCCTACAGTACATGTGGCAGATGTAATAAAAGAGTGATATTTTGATTTCAGATTAAACTTTGATAACTCTGCGTATCGATATATCCAGAAGGAGGATGAAGAGGAACAAGAGATCCTCCCCATCACCAGTGACTTTTTCTTTGAAGTTTTTCCCTTCAACATTGTTTTCAGACAGGTGACTTTCTTCTCCTCACGTCACGTCTCGTCTCGTCTCGTCTCGTCTCACACTGTGGTATATAATGTGTATCTTCTGATGCAATAGGACATGGTTGTGCATAACGTAGGCTCGGGATTGGCGACCGTCTTTCCTGATCTGGATGGGAAGAAGATCAATGATGCTTTTCTGCTTGCTCGTCCTCTTGTGGAGTTCACATGGAACATGGCAAGTCATTTTTAATATTAATATATTAAATGTTGTATTAATTATTGTAATATAATTAAATTAATATATTTAAAGATAGATAGACAGACAGACAGACAGACAGACGGATAGATGGACAGACGGACATTTAAAGATAGATAGATAGACAGACAGACAGACAGACAGACGGATAGATGGACAGACGGACATTTAAAGATAGATAGATAGACAGACAGACAGACAGACAGACGGATAGATGGACAGACGGACAGACGGACAGACGGACAGACAGTTAGATAGACAGACAGATAGATATATGCAATGCAACCTTTCTAAACCACAGACTGAACAAAATTAAGCATTGCTTGGTAATTGGTTGACCTAAATTGGTATTATCTAATTGTGTATTTAAATTGAACAGCTGAATAATTTTTGGTTGATTGTAATCCATCACATACCTTTCTATCAAAGTTATCTGACAGTATCAAGGTGAATTTGTTCTGACACAGTTTAACTCTGGGTTATTGCCATATTGTATTACCATTTTGTAAACTATAGCGAATAAACTCAGATAATGTGAGAAATTTTGAAGGTGTCTTAATACATTTTGGTTTGACTGTATAGGGAGAGAGAGATTATATTATATAATTAATTATATATAATTATAATATAGCTGTATAATACATTTATTATAATATATAATTATAATACGATATTTTATATAATCTTAATAATATATAATACAATTATTTAAATAGTTGATAGTTCACATAAAATGTCATTTTTAATATTAAAATATTTTATAATTTGTATTTGTGTACACACACACACACACACACACACACACACACACAATACAATGTTTTGTATTAATATTTAAATTACTACAATTATTTGTAAATATAAACATATATATTAATAATAATTATTAATCATATCATATTTATATATAATTAGAATTTAAAATTACAATTTAAAATAACTGTTTTCTATTTGAATATATTTTAAAATGTAATTTATTCCTGTAAACATGTAAGAAGACATGCTAGTTAGTCTTTGCTTATCCACATCATTTAATAAATCAATCAGTATTGATGCCAAACTCCAAACCATTAATAAATGACATCTTTATATTGAAGAAAATCAGTCAATAAATGAATCAATGGATTCTGTGACAGATCATCTCCCATCCCAACAACCTGTTTGAGATCATGTCTAAGGAGCCGGTGAAACGATGACTTATATGTGAATCAAAAAAACTATTTCAGTATATATTTTTTAATGTTTGTATGGTTTTAATTCATTTTTATTTTTGTTTTTAATTCAGTTCTGGATTGCATTGGACAACTGATTTCTTGCCTTTATTTGGTTCCCTTAGTGGTCCATTTTAAAGTGTAAAAGCATTCTCAATAACACATGTTAAGGGCATCACAGGCCTGTTCTCCCCTTATTGCCTGTCCTTCATTCTCTATATCTTTGTTTTTCTCTTTCTGCCCCACAGGAGCAAAAGAAATCCAGTAAACTAGAGGAAAGCATGAAAATGTTGGACTACGAGATGAAAAAGACAGATGATCTTCTGTACAGAATGATTCCCAAACCTGTTGCTAAGCGACTGCGGAAGGGAGAACCAGCTGTGAACACCTGCGAGGTTAGAACGTCTGCACCTTTAACTTCATGCAGGTGTTACGAGTGTCTAGACCAGGGGTGGGCAAACTTGGCCCTTCCAGGCCACTTTCCTTCAGAGGTTAGCTCCAGCCCTAATCAAACACACCTGAACCAGCTAATCATTGTCTTCAAGACTACTAGAAGGCTACAGGCAGGTGAGTCATATCAGGGTTGGATCAAATCTCTGCAGGAAAGTGGCCTGGAAGGGCCAAGTTTGCCCATCACTGGTCTAGACCAATTAGTCTTGTTTTTTTTATTTGCATTTTTGGATTTTCATGAAAGTTTTTGGTTTTATTATTGAAAATGTTGTCTCTAAAAACTTGTGCAACAAAATATTAAGTATATTTTAAAATATTATTATTTATTCCTGTGATGGCAAAGCTGAATTTTCATACTTCAGCATCCTTGCTGAATAAGAATATTAATTTCTTTAAAATAAAAAAAAGCTCATGCAACAATTAATGATCAGATTTAAAAAATTAGGCTAGTGAACTTTCTGGAATCCCGAAAATGATAATTTCCTTAAAATGTATTCATCCTCAGGCCATCCAAGATGTAGATGAGTTTGTTTCTTCATGGGAACAGATTTGGAGAAATTTAGCATTACATCACTTACTCACCAATGGATCCTCTGCAGTGAATGGGTGCCGTCAGAATGAGAGTCCAAACAGCTGATAAAAACATCACAATAATCCACACCACTCCAGTCCATCAGTTAACTTGTGAAGTGAAAAACTGCGTTTGATGTGAGAGGACAACAAGAGATGCACTTTTTCACTTGAGGAAGTGTTATTATGGATTATGGACTGGTATTTTGGCCAAAAGCGACACATTTATTTCTTACAAACACGCAGCTTTTCACTTCACAAGACGTTGATCGATCGACTGGAGTGGTGTGTATTACTTGTGGATTATTGTGATGTTTTTACCAGTTGTTTGGACTCTTATTCTGACGGCACCCATTTACAATTTTCTTTTTTTGGTGAACTGTTCCTTTAAACTCTGACTGGTTTAATCATTTTATTTGATCATTAATGTCTATATCTGATCTGTTTCAGGTGTTTCCTGATGTGACCATCCTGTTCAGTGATGTGGTGGGCTTCACTCGTATCTGCAGTCATATCACACCCATGCAGGTGGTCTCTATGCTCAACACCATGTACACGCTCTTCGACACGCTCAGTGAGAAACACAGAGTGTTTAAGGTGAGATCATTTCTTCTGTGGTTCCAGCACGATCACATGGTGATACAGATGTTCCTCACATTGATATGTGTGTTTCAGGTTGAAACTATAGGTGATGCATACATGGTGGTGGCAGGCGCTCCAGAAAAGACCAAGTATCACGCTCACAATATTTGTGACATGGCTCTAGATATGGTTCGTTCTATTGATCATCTCAAAGACCCGTCCAACGGAAACAACATCCAGATTCGCGTGGGTACGTCTTCTCTCTTTTATTCAATAATTGTTTTTTAATTAGTTTTTTCATTATTTACATTTAGCAATTTCACGTAATATACACTTCCGTTTGATATCAGTATGATTTTTTCAATGTTTTAAAAATAAGTCTTTTGTGCTTACCAAGGCTGCATTTATTTGATCTAAAACAGCAATATTGTAAAATATTATTACAATTTAGAATAAGTGTTTTCTATTTGAATATATTTTAAGATGTAATTTATTCCTGTGATCAAAGCTGAATTATCAGCATCATTACTCCAGTCTTCAGTGTCACATGATCCTTCAGAAATCATTCTGCTGATTTGCTGATCAAGAAACAAATCTTATGATTATCAATGTAAGCATTCTGTGATGAATAGAAAGTTCAGAAGCATTTATTTGATATTTAGTCTTTTGCTCTCACTTTTGATCAATTTAATGCATTCTTGCTAAACATAAGTCTTGATTTCTTTCAAAACGCTCACTATGTATTAAAAAAGAGCTGTTTGTCAAGGACTTTGCACTGATATTTTATTATGACTATTTTGACCTGTTTCATTCTTCTCGTAGGAATTCACTCTGGTATGGTGGTGGCTGGGGTCGTAGGTCACAAGATGCCTCGCTACGGTCTTCATGGTGATACAGTCCACACGGCGTCTGCCATGGAGAGCAATGGGAAGGTAGATGGATAGTCTTTATTATACTTCATGTATATTGCACACACATTTATGCATCCTTAATTTGAGCATTTACTTGAAGCAGGAATGACGGGGTTAGTGCAGTTTTAATCAAAAGCACCATGTATCACACTCATTAGATTGATGTTTGTTGGTTTTGTTGAGCGTTCCTCTGTTTATAATAGGACTGAACTCCTAGCGGCCGTCACAGGCCTGAACGCCTGCTGTCTGATTGACATTTGACTCTATTGATCGACTGATCTGTTATTTATAGGAAATGCACATACAGCTGAGCAGCGCTACTTATGAGCACCTGAAAGGAAGTCACTTTATCTTCGAGAGACGCGGTACCATCACCATCAAGGTCAGTCGCTAAGTAACTGGACTGAAAAATCGACCCAAAGCTTGTTTACCCAGACGTTCTCAAACAGGACCACCTGAGGTCCAGTGAACTGACCTGTCTGACCACCTTTATAATTAGTGCTGTTTACTGAGGAAAGAAGGATGTTTAATGGTTAAATCGAAAATGGTTTCATTTGAAAGATATGACTGATCCGCTAACAAACTACAACTACTTTATTGATGTAATATGTTTTCTCTGGCAGGGGAATGTGGAGATTGAGACGTACTGGCTGAAAGGAAAGAGAGATAAAGATGGAAACGCTCAGGCCGCATGCCCGCAGTTTGAAGCCCAGACCATCAGTAAAGCCGCCATCTCTGCCCCCGAACCGCCCATCGATGAGGAAGTGCTGGTAAATTCATCCGTCTTTCAGATGAGATGTTAAACCGAGGTCCTGACTCTCTGTGGTCATTAATAATCCCATGGCACTTCTCGTAAAGAGTAGGGGTGTAACCCCGGTGTCCTGGCCAAATTGCCCCCCTGGCCTTTGTCAATCATGGCCTCCTAATAATCCCCATCCACTGAATTGGCTCTCGATCTCTCCTCTCCTCTCCACCTGTAGCTGGTGTGTGGTGAGCGCACTGGCGCCATTGTCCTGTGGCTGCCGTCGCATCATCCAGGTGGATGCTGCACACTGGTGGTGGTTGAGGAGAGACCCCCCCACATGATTGTAAAGCGCTTTGGGTGTACAACAATACACAATAAAGCTCTATATAAATGCACCATTCATTCATTCATTCATTCATTCATTCATTCATAAATGCATGATATATTATGAATAAAAGAGTTAATGACCATAGAGGTTATCTTAGATGCAGTTTGAAGCAATGATCTGAACTTAAAGTCAACATGAAATCAGACATAAAGCCAACATAAAGCCAACATTAAATTTCCTTAATTTCATTTCATTTCATTTCATTTCATTTCATTTTATTTTAATTTAATTTTATTTAATTTAATTTTATTTAATTTTATTTTATTTTGAATATGTAGTTTTACTCCGCCATATGCCACATTATGAAAGTTAATAATAATAATAATAATAATGAAGAAGATGATGTTGATTATTATTGTTTTTATGATTATTGTCATTGTGTATTGTATAATTCATATCAATATTACTGTATATTGCATATATTGTATATGTCATATTGTACATTAGTATAACATAAAATAGTATAATTATATTATTACTATTTAACAAATTATTATTATTATTATTATTATTATATTAATTATTAGATAATTAATTTATTATTTATTATTATTGTTGGTGTATTGTATATTTAATAATACTAATAATTATTATTATTATCAGTCACTTAAATGTGAATTATTTATCATTATTATTATTATTATTATTAATTGTATTATTTCACATTCTTTTTTTTTTTTGAGAATCATGTTTTTAAAAAGCTGTTTGCAGAATGGCTAAGAGCACTGTTTTTTCTGATGGATTTTCCTCCTCAGGTGTTCCCCTCAGTGGCAGGTGAGGATGAGGACGATGTGAAATCTATCCGCTCTCACCGCATGAAGATGGAAACCTCTGGAAACTCTCTGGAGGAGTCGATGGAGGAGTGTCGTGTTGAAGAAGCGTCCGTCAGTAAGGTGAGATCTGTGATTTCTGTGCCTGTGTGAACGAGTGATGAGGTATTACACAAAGACACATGATGATATCAAATCCTGTCTCTCAGTCTCATTATAAGGACGCTCTTCAGGACAGCAGTCTGCAGGACCCACACATTGAACTCGACTCGGCTGAGTTTGACGCTCGAGATTCAATAATGGAGTCTCCTGCTGGCTCCTGTGACTCCTGCGGCTCTGAGAAGAGCACCATGTGCTCTGTGTGCTAAACATAGTGATCATGACATGGCTTTGAAAGTCTTTTAGTTTTCATAGTCCATCCTCAGAATCATATGGCTATTGATCTGCATATGTTTCCCAAAGAATTCTGTCAATTGGATTCATTGAATTGTCTTGTAAATAGATTAGAGGTATTACTGAACTGAAATGTGCTTATCGTGTTGGCTTCTCATCTGTATTCAGTCTCATTCAGGTTAAAGCTTTATAAATCTTTGTTCCCTTTTGCTGGGTTCATGCTTTATATTGACAGATACCTTTATTTTTTAATTTTTAATGAATCTCCTGATAAAAATGAAAGGGTCATATTTCATCCCATTTCATCAATCAAAAGGAAGAATAAAATAATGTTTTTCATAGAGAAAATGAAACCTTAGGTTTAGATAAATGAATCTTAGGTTATTTTATTCTATTTAATAATAATAATAATAATAATAATACATTTATTGATTTTTTACATTATTTGCATGGAAATTAAGCACATTCCACAAGATTCTCATTTAGTAATTAAAACCATTCTGTCCAGAAACAATGATTTAAAATAAAAAATACAATAAAAAATATATATATACAATCAGCATAAGCAGTGTAACAAATACTACCATGGGGTATAAATATTTAGCAATTTAAATAATATATACTTTTCTTTCAGAATGCTAAATCAGGAAGTGCTTACTTGACATTAAAATAATGACAGAATTTTATATACTACCATTTAAAAGTTGTCTGTAAGATTTTTTTATGTTTTTGAAAGAAGTCTCTTCTGCTCACCAAAGCTGCATTCATTTAACCAAAAATACAGTAAGATCAGTAATGTAAAATGTTATTTCAATTTGAAACACGTATTTTTAATTTTAGAAAATATTTTCAAATATAAGCATTTGTGCTGAAACATTGATGCATTTCTTTTTAGGATTCTTTAAGTAGAAAGTTTAAAAAACAGGTTTTGTTGGACACTGAGCATATTTTTACTGTCAGTTTTGATCAATTTAATATGCCCTTGCTAAATAAAAGTATCGAAAAAATCTAAATCAATCAGTCAATCAATCAATAAATCAAACTTTTGAATGGTAGTGTATATTTTTAGCTTTTTAATTGGGGTAAAATGTGACCTGAACATGTTTTAGTTTAGGTAAGATTCGTGCAGTATTTAGTTGGTGCTCCTGAGGACTCGTCATTGAATTCATTCAGGATGAAATGTTCTGGGTTCTGTACTTCATCTGTCAACAGCGTGTGTGACGTGTGGTCCATTACCACAGGAAATCATTTGAACTTTTCTCTCAGCTTCTAAAAACAAATAAAAATCACGATTATAGTGGTCTTGTTTACAGCACTTATAGTGATTCTTCTGGTGCTATACATGCCTGACTGTTGTCATGTGTGTGTATTATGTGAGAGTTACTGTGTTTATCAGCTTTGAAGAGTAAAAAAAATTGGATATACTTTTACACAATAGTTAGTGATGCTGCTGTCCTGTTAACACACTGTTTATGTCTTGTAGCTACATTTTAGAAAGATTTATCCCTGTGCAAAGCCCCACTGACCTCCAATGTAAGTGTTTTAATGTAATCGCTTATTTTTGTTTGTCTTAACAAACTGAGAGAAGGGTCAGAATTATTTCAAGTGGTAATTTACTCTCTTCTCAAGATTCGTCTGATCTTTCTCTCTGTTTTGCCCTTTCTTAAGTTTTTGATGTGTTTCTCTGTCTGTGTGTTGTTTGCTTACTGCCTAACTGTTTCCTCAAAGTGATGTGAAAATAAAGCAGGAGTGACAGCGTGACTCATTTAATCACCGTTTTTCAATATGTTTCAGTAGATCACAAGCAGGCTCAATGATTTCACACATCACTTCTGCTGCATTATATTATTTACGCAGAAAACAGTCATTTCAGTTTCTGTTATGAGACAAAGTAGAATAGAACGGGCAAAGAAAATGATAAAGCTATATTCTGCTTTTCAACCAGTCAGGTTTTTGTTAAAAAAATCTCTTGTGCTCACCAAAACAGCATTTATTTAATAATAATAATAAT